AGCAGGAGCAGGTCGGAGGGTCAGGATCAGGTCCCAGGGTCTAGATCCATCCTTGGGGGTCAGGATACATCCTGGAGGTGAGGACCCTGTATTGGAGGGAGCTCAGGATCTGGCCCCAGGGTCAGGATCTATCTCTGGGGGTCAGGATCAGGTCCCAGGGGGCTCAGGATCAGGCCCCAGGGTCTAAATCCATCCTTGGGGATCAGGATCCATCCTGGAGGTGAGGAACCTCTCCTGGGGGGGGGCTCAGGATCAGGTCCCAGGGTCAGGATCCATCCTTGGGGGTCAGGATCAGGCCCCAAAGGGTCAGGAGCGGGTCCTGGGGGGTTCAGGATCAGGTCCCAGGGTCAGGATCAGGTCCCAGGGTCTAGATCCATCCTTGGGGGTCAGGATACATCCTGGAGGTGAGGACCCTGTATTGGAGGGAGCTCAGGATCTGGCCCCAGGGTCAGGATCTATCTCTGGGGGTCAGGATCAGGTCCCAGGGGGCTCAGGATCAGGCCCCAGGGTCTAAATCCATCCTTGGGGATCAGGATCCATCCTGGAGGTGAGGAACCTCTCCTGGGGGGGGGCTCAGGATCAGGTCCCAGGGTCAGGATCCATCCTTGGGGGTCAGGATCAGGCCCCAAAGGGTCAGGAGCGGGTCCTGGGGGGTTCAGGATCAGGTCCCAGGGTCAGGATCAGGTCCCAGGGTCTAGATCCATCCTTGGGGGTCAGGATCAGGCCCCAAAGGGTCAGGAGCGGGTCCTGGGGGGTTCAGGATCAGGTCCCAGGGTCAGGATCAGGTCCCAGGGTCTAGATCCATCCTTGGGGGTCAGGATCAGGCCCCAAAGGGTCAGGAGCGGGTCCTGGGGGGTTCAGGATCAGGTCCCAGGGTCAGGATCAGGTCCCAGGGTCTAGATCCATCCTTGGGGGTCAGGATCAGGCCCCAAAGGGTCAGGAGCGGGTCCTGGGGGGTTCAGGATCAGGTCCCAGGGTCAGGATCAGGTCCCAGGGTCTAGATCCATCCTTGGGGGTCAGGATCAGGCCCCAAAGGGTCAGGAGCGGGTCCTGGGGGGTTCAGGATCAGGTCCCAGGGTCAGGATCAGGTCCCAGGGTCTAGATCCATCCTTGGGGGTCAGGATCAGGCCCCAAAGGGTCAGGAGCGGGTCCTGGGGGGTTCAGGATCAGGTCCCAGGGTCAGGATCAGGTCCCAGGGTCTAGATCCATCCTTGGGGGTCAGGATACATCCTGGAGGTGAGGACCCTGTATTGGAGGGAGCTCAGGATCTGGCCCCAGGGTCAGGATCTATCTCTGGGGGTCAGGATCAGGTCCCAGGGGGCTCAGGATCAGGCCCCAGGGTCTAAATCCATCCTTGGGGATCAGGATCCATCCTGGAGGTGAGGAACCTCTCCTGGGGGGGGGCTCAGGATCAGGTCCCAGGGTCAGGATCCATCCTTGGGGGTCAGGATCAGGCCCCAAAGGGTCAGGATCAGGTCCCAGGTGGCTCAGGATCAGGTCCCAGGATCTGGATTTATCCTTTGGGGTCAGGATCCATCCTGGAGTTGAGGACCCTGTCCTGGGGGGGCACAGGATCAGGCCTCAGGGGGGTCAGAATCTATCTCCGGGGGTCAGGATCAGTCCCCAGGATCAGGATCGGGTCCTGGGGGGGTCAGGATCCATCCTGGGGGGGTCAGGATCGGTCCTGGGGGTGAGGACCTGCTCCTGGGGGGGTCAGGATCCACGGTGGAGCCACTTTCCTCTTGTTCCTGGATCTTTACGAGCTCGTGGTTTTCCAGCCGTGTCTCCTCATCCCCGTCTCCGTGGCCACTGGAGGTGGCTCCAGAGGGACCAGACCAGCTCCTGGTGGGCTCTTTGTCACCTGCCAGAGCCTGGTTGTGGCTGTCCCCAAACTCTTCTAGGACAGTTGTGGTTGTCCCCAAACTCTTCTAGGACAGTTGTGGTTGTCCCCAAGCCCTCCTAGGACAGTTGTGGCTGTCCCCAAGCCCCCTCAGTGTGATCATGGCCATCCCCAAACCCCCAGGCCTTGATCCTGGTTGTCCCCCAAGACCCCCTAAGCCTGGTTGTGGTTGTCCCCAAGCCCTCTCAGGACAGTTATGAACTGTCCCCAAGCTCCCTAAGCCTGGTTGTGGTTGTCCCCAACTCCCACCAGGACAGTTGTGGTTGTCCGAAGAACCAAGAGGGGGTTTGTGGTTGGCAGGACGGGAAGGAGACGGTGATGAAGGAGGTGTTCCCCGGGGACAGCGTGCACAGTCTGCTCAGCATCCTGGACGTCATCACGGTACCGACTGTCCCCAAGTGTCCCCCCCAACTCGTCCCCAATGTCCCCAAGCCCTCTCAGGACAGTTGTAGCTGTCCCCAAGCCTCCAGAGCTTGATCCTGGGTGTCCCTGAGCCACCTAAGCCTGGTTGTGGTTGTCCCCAAGCCCTCTCAGGACAGTTGTGGTTGTCCCCAAGCCCCCTCAATGTGACCATGGCCATCCCCAAACCCCCAGGCCTTGATCCTGGTTGTCCCCCAAGACCCCCTAAGCCTGGTTGTGGTTGTCCCCAACTCCCACCAGGACAGTTGTGGTTGTCCCCAAGCCCCCTCAACGTGATCATGGCCGTCCCCAAACTCCCAGAGCCTGGTTGTGGCTGTCCCCAAACTCTTCTAGGACAGTTGTGGTTGTCCCCAAGCCCTCCTAGGACAGTTGTGGCTGTCCCCAAGCCCCCTCAATGTGATCATGGCCATCCCCAAACCCCCAGGCCTTGATTCTGGTTGTCCCCCAAGACCCCCCAAGCCTGGTTGTGGTTGTCCCCAACCCCCACCAGGACAGTTGTGGTTGTCCCCAAGCCCCCTCAACGTGATCATGGCCGTCCCCAAACTCCCAGAGCCTGGTTGTGGCTGTCCCCAAACTCTTCTAGGACAGTTGTGGTTGTCCCCAAGCCCCCTCAACGTGATCATGGCCATCCCATCCCCACACCCCCAGAGCCTGGTTGTGGCTCTCCCCAAACCCTTCTA